ATTCACCCAACTTGAATTTCCATTCACTTAGAACGAATGTAACTTATACCCTCAACCCTTGGTTCAAAGTCAGACACTCCGACCAACACATCACTTACATGAAATTCACCCTGTTCATCGCAGGGTCTCATAGGAACATGGGTCATCCAAGATCGGGGCCATGCCCTCCGCAACGTATTCTTGGCACACGACGTTCGAATTTCTGTGGGTCTCAGCGGTCTCAGCGGTCTCATCTCCTTCTCGGGCGAACGAAACATTGGTTGGGGCCCCCCAGCGTCTCGTTGTCCTCAGTGAAGCCCCAGTCTGGCTGAAGCCGGACAGCCAACGACTCCTGAAAAAGGGCCACGCGCTGCGCGTCCTTTTGACTCGGCGACATCGACGAAATGCCTTTTGAAGCAAAGGAGTCTGTCCGACCGCGTGGCTGGCTTGACAGATTCTCATGCAAGGGCAGAGACTGCGGACCGGTCCGCTCCTTCCACATATGCGACCGGGTTGAGAGTTCGTTCTATTATCATTAGAAACCTCACCGTCCAAAGGATTGCAGATTGCGAGTTGAGAGTGAGTGGGGCCCGCCCATGTTGTTCAATGTTTAGGGATGCCATGCACACGCTCCTGCGGCTCGGCAGGCCATCGATGTCTCTTCATGGACTCTTGGACACAAATATCGCATCAAAAGGATGAAAGTGATTGAACCTGCCCACTTGATCCCTCCTTCTGTTGGGACACTTCTACGACTGGATGGAAATGAATTTGAACGTCGACCCGTGTTGAAGTCGACTCGTGCCCCGTGTTCGCGGTCCGCGGTGCCGGGCCGCGGTCAGTGTGCCCTCCGGAGGTCCTTCTTCGTCCAATTTTCATGCAAAGAGGGGACTTCCGCCACCCTGAGCATTTTGATTGTTGCGTGGTCGGAGGTCGGAGGTCGGAGGTCGAGGTTTCCGGGCGGATTGGGCAGATTGCTAAGCTGGGTGCTGACTGGTTGCAGCTGGCAAAGCAATGACCAGTGTCTGACTGCGGTGTTCTATCATTTGATTTACTCCCCATCTTATGTCCTACTCTGAATGAAATCACACCACAATTTCCAAAGGCGTGGCCTTTAGACCCGAAGTGAGTGGACAGTGTCGCACCGCGACTTTCAGTTTGAAGCATTCCACTCCATGGAACTGCCGACAATTCTGTAGTTCAAAACGACACAACTTCAGGTCCGACCACCCAGAGACCCTGCTCTCATTCTCAGCTGCCGGCTCCACCACTGGACTTGGAATGCTTGGCACCTGGGTCGTTTCACGTGTTGTTCTTCCCGCAAAGCATGACCAGGGCCAAAACCAAGTCCGGTGGTTTTGGGACACCTGGAATCACCACTAAGAGGCTATTTATAGACACCTCTTAGAGACTGGCAGGACCTGAACTACCTATAGAGAATTAGACATTGACATGATGCCATGTTACACCCCCCGACGTGAGCCGTGTGTTCCCGCCTGGCCGTACAGCATACATGCTACATTTAAAAAAAAAGGAAAACATGCATAATAGATCAAAATACTTCAGAAGATTTTGAACTCCCACTGGTAGGCTGTCTGGGCGGATAATTAGAGATCCCAGGTGCCAGGGCTTGTTCATCGCCCAGTTCCACCCTCCACCGCAGTCATCGTGCGAGATCGCCGCTGCGGTGCGTTCGTCGCGGCCTTTTTGGTCTTCAACCGCCGGGGCAGGGGCCTCCCCCGGTCCAAGTCCTCCGCGGTTTCCGCGAGGCCTCATTCTGACCGGGGGCCGGTTGGGGGTCTCGGCGGTTGTGCGGCGTGCGGCGTGACGTTCTTCACGCGGTGAAGACGGTGAAGGCGCCGAGCTGATGTGGAGAAGATTGGGCTGGCGCCGGTGGGGAGAGGGTGAGGAGAGCCGACGTTCGTCTGCGGAACCCGCAATCTTCGGCATGACTAAGTTGAATGGCCACATGTGGAACGACATGGAACATGGAAATACATGGAAATACATGGAACATGCAGATTTGAGGGGACCATGTCTAGGGTCCAACAGAGAACCCCTTGAATTTGGCAGGTTTTTTCGCCCCTGACTGAATCATCTGATCCCGACTCTGAGTTGAGAGACCTCACAGGGCTCTCCTCACACAGCTGTCGCCCCACGAGTCGGTTCACCAGTAGAGTCAATGAGCGCTCAGGAGACGAGTCACTGAAGTGATAGGGACTGATCGGGCACTCACCATGCGCCGAGATCAAGCGGTGAAGTGAAAAAGAAGCTGGAAAACTTAATTCTATTCTTGTTATTTCTTGTTTCAAAGCTTCTTGTTACTAGTAGTATGGCCAGGAGCCCCTAGTAGCTTCTTGCTCCTAATAGCCTGAGAAGTTGTGGGAAGGCTTCGATGGCTTCATGAAGTCGCGCCATTGACTCGTTTTAAGCGTCGAACTCTGAAAGAATCTGCCCAAGCAGATGCAGCAAGAAGCACCCAATCATCCTGTCCGTTGCCGAAAAACACGTGGCCAAAATAAGGAGAACACTTCCAAACAGCCTCAGGACTTGGTGGCTTTTTGGTGGCAAAAGGGCGCGAAGCAAGGCATGTGGTCTCTGAAGATTCATGAAAAGTCCACTTTTGGGTCTCGGCACTGGACTGGCGTGGTCGCAGGTTGCTGGTTCTGTAGGAGGAAGGGAGTCGAGGCTCGTGAGGTGTAATCCAGCAAACAATCCGACGTTGTCAAAAGCATGGAAGATTACTTGGAACAAGAAGCTACTAGGAGCAAAGGGCATTGCTACTAGGAACAAGAAGCTACTAGGAGCAAAGGGCATCGCTACTAGGAGCAAGAAGCTACTAGGGGTTCCTGGCCTTACTTCTAGGAACAAGAAGCTATATATATATACTAGGAGCCAAGGGCATCGCTATACTTAGTCCGATTCTCAAGTGATTGAGATTGAACCTTTGAGAATTCAATGAACCCCCCAAAAAAAGGGGCCAACTGTCTTGATATGCCTTGATGTTCGATGCTCACATCAAGTCACCTCTCCATCGACTCCCAGTGCCCAAAGCTGCTTTCCTCCGGCCATTTTGGTCACGAGCGATCTCGGCCCGGATTGGCTTGAAAAGACAAGAAGGAGGACATGAAGCGAAGGCTCGTCCGCCGCTTTTGGAGTGGCAAACTGCTCGTGGACGTCTTGAAGCATAAGACCTCGAGCGTGATGGGTTGCCAAGAGTTAGTAGCTGACCCAGAGTACTAGGGTCCAAACAGTTTAAGTCATGAAAAGACGGTGAAATAACAAAAACACTGTTTTGTTTAAATAAATACCCAGACGCTCCAAACAGCCCTTGGTCCCTCAAAGCCTATGGATTTGAGACCCCAAACCCTCTATATGAGGGTCCGACCCCTCCATATGAGGGCCCATGGGCGTCTGGGTAGTAATGAATCAAGTATGAACGATGATGAACAACATATCTTCTCCATGGGTTGAGATGCCTCCCACCCCTGCACCCATCCTCTTCCGCCACCTCCCATGTTCGGTGTTCCCGTGGCCCAGTGCACACGTGGCCTACCAGTTGCCCCACCCAATGGCCTGTGAGGTGGCCGCATTCCGGTCCTGAAGCTCTTGATGTGTGGCGATCTTCACCTGGTTCGGAGAAGACCGGAGGTCAAGGAGACACCCCATGATCTGTTTTTCGCCCCACCCCGAAGGGGGGAGGGACCTGTCTAAAGGTCTCCCCCCGGTTTTGTAGAGATAGGGGGTAGGGATACTGCAATAGCCTCTTCCCAAGAGGTCAACGGGTGTCCATGTCTATGGCCTGCCATCCGTGAAATGACACGGGTGACACGGTTGGTACACAACTCTCACGAGTCAGTCGACCGTGGCCGTGTCGAAGATGGCTGGGTGTTTTCCCAGAAGTCCCGGGGACTTGGACTTGGACTGACCCAGGTCGACGAGGCCGGACTACTAGTTCAGTGAATTGTGCTGGACTCGGCCAACGCGTAGGCCAACGCAACGCACCCCGTGGCGATCGCTCGCTCCCACGTCTGAAGGGGGTGGGGCAAAGGGGGTCGAGATCGGATAGGAGATATAGGGCCTAGGGGATCCTAGGGGTATTTTAATAGCCCCAATTAATCGGTCTTGATCCATTTTCCTTCACTTGGGCAGCTCTTCCTATTTGAGCTACACACCCCATATTTGATGGAGTGCCAACTCTGAAAGTCCATCCGACACCCGAGGGCGAATGGCCCCCAGCCGACAGGATCACTGGGGCGTCGCTGGTGGCTGGCTCCGTGGGGCGTCGCGAGGCATCGCGCGGACCGGAAGCAGAGTCCCGCCTGTCCATCGTACAAGCTATTTCGTTGAAGTAGGAATTGGATGCCTGGGAAGATGAGCCGATCGGTCATAGCATAGCCGAATAGGGGATGGAATGGGACCGTGGCGAAATTGGAGGTCATGACTGGTGTGAAAATGTGTGATACGCCCAAATCTGCTGTTTAAATCGCTGTCCGATGGTCGACTTCGACTGTCACACGTTGGTATTTCAGGAAACAACGAAACAAAGACGAACTGTATAGGTATTCCTAATTAAAAAGAAGAAGAAGAAGAAGCAGCAGCAGGAGCAGAAGTCATGTACCGTTCAGCTCCAATCATTTCTCAAACCCGCACATCCCCGTGTTTCTGAAAGCGCTTGCACTTGTCTCCTCTGTGTGTTGTTGCTTTTTGGTGGAAAACCACTGCATACCGTTCGTCACAACACCCGGCCGTTTCCACTGTTCCATTGTCTCCAATCCCTGGTGCTAAAAGCATAAAGGACGGCCTACTCGTGCTCAACACGTCGCGGAAACCCCTCACCAGGTGCCCACCTACATCAGGTGCCGATGAAGCAATGGACCATCCATGACCATCCCAAAAATCTCATCATGACGCGTAAATGGATTCCCGTGAGCCGTGAGTTGTCCCTTTGTCGCTTCAGCATCGGCAGCATCTGAGCATCCAAGTGGCCGGAAGGAGGCTCCATGATATCGGCAGTTTCCAGCTCCTTCCGACTCTCAACAGCTGGTACAGAATCGTCCACATAGGGATGAGGGGACCGCCGTTTTCAGCGTCAGTGGGGTTCCCACGTGAAGATGTTTCTCACCTGGGACACCTGGGATACCTCCCACTTCAATATGTTAATCACGGTGTTATCCTTAGTTCAAGTTCATGCTCTTTGACTCAGACCCAGTTGGAGTTGGACAAAACTGTTCACAACACCAAACACATAAGACTCCTGCCCCCACCCACCAGACATGAAGGCAGAACCACCTAGAACCTGGACGTGGACCTTACAAACATTCAAGTGACCATTTTACCAAGTTCACATCCAAGAGGAATGGTTTTGGGAGGTTTTGAGGCTATGTGTTGGTTTTGGCCCACAGGAAAACCCACCAAACACCAGTGGACAACTTTTGTCAAAGAATGTACAGTATGTGTAACAATGGAAGGGCGTGCACTTTGTTTGTTGGGATGTGATCTTCTGTTGAGAAGCACCAAGACCCATGAATTTGAGCGCATTCAGGCCCCAGTGATGACTCTAGTCACTCTAGTCAGTTATATAAGTTCCCAAAACTCCATCGCTGGTGACCTGAAAAGCGGATCCACTCCTAGTTGGATGAAAACACCAAGTGATTCCTTTCCCAAATCCTCAAGTTCCACGCAGAGTTCCCCAAATTCCCTCAGCTGCCCCGCATTCGCCTGCTCGCCCTGTGCAACGATCGAACGCTCGGTGTCGCCTTAAGGACGTCGATGCGGAGGAGCACCGTCTTCTCGGCGTCCGAGTCGCTGAGCGGCCACAGGGCGCGAGCCTGTCGGAAGACTTCCGCCAGGATCCTCAACCGGGGCTGGCAGGTCCGAAGGTCGAGTGGCCGTGTGGTGTGGTCTTTGGAGCTTCGAAGCGGTCTGACCGTGCAAGGTGGAAACACCTCGGCCCTGAGGGTTTGGGTCCTGGATGGTCCTGGAGTTTTCGGGTCCAGTTTGGGGGGATGATGGACCATCGTTTCTCTTGAGCCGAATCAGTTGGGGCGGGGTGAAAAACCTGGCAGGCTCAACAAGAACAAGTGAAAATCTCGTCAATCTCTGGTGTACAATTGTAGTCTAAATTTCTTAGTACAAACAGGATTGTTTGGTCATCTTTGGTCAAGACTCTTGAAGTAAATGATGGGCCAGGAATGGCCACAAACCCTGAACGCTGGAGGTCCTCTCAGTGGCTTGGAACCGACCCTGGACTGCAGGGATGGACGTTGAACTGGGTGGGTGAGAGTTCTGAAGTCGTTCGACACACGGCACCCATCAATTGGGACGCTTGATCTGTGTGAGGACCGCTGTCTCAGGGGCTTTCAATCCCGAGTGACTTGGGGCCCAAACGTGGTCGGATGACTTGGGCATCCTGGATGGGGGGAAAACAAGTTCAAGCCTTGAGATCTTGTATGATGTCCAATCGACATTCGAAAAAAAAAGGGGGAATGGGCGAAGAAACATTATATAGAGATCTAGAGAATCTTATTGGAACAACCTGCACAACAATGAATTGGGCACAGTCGTCTTCTCTTCTGTGCTGACATATTCCAAGAACCTCCTAGAGCCTTGCAAAATACTGCATGAGCACTGAGGTCAGTTTCAGACTTCCCAGCGAGCCATGATTTTTCTAAAGGTCAAGTGCCTTTTTTTGCTGCTGGGGTGCCTACGCTGGAGGCTTTGCATGGAAGGGTTGGCGTTGCAAAATGGCTGCGCTGGCTCTTTGCAGCGATTGATTCGAACCTGAATTCGCCTTCGCGAATCCTACACCATCGAGAGTTCCAGTCTTATCTAAAGCCCACCATTCGCAGAAAACACTGCTCAAGTGACCAAAGCAACTTCCCAACAGACCTAAGATGGACCCCCCCACCAAAGTAGGAAGATACGTGGGAAAAAAACCGTCCGGTGGAGCATGGTGGAGCTGGAGAACTCTTCCAAAAACGAACCTCTCAAGAGCGACCGAGACCGACCCGCGTGGTCGAAGACCATTTTTTGGACGAAATGGAAGAAGAGGTCCGTCCCGTTCACAGACCGGACAGGTGGGCAGTCCATGAAACCTTTGCCAGTCTTTGTTCTCCAATCACCAGCAAGCCTGGAACCAAACCCCCTGAAATTGACCCTCCAAACAAGGGCGGGAAGCAAGATGATCTGATAGCTCCGTCCCCGTCTTTCACTCTCAACCTGCTGCTTTCCCGACATGTCTCACCGCCTGATGCGTCCATCAGCCAAGAAGCCTCAGCGCGCCATAAGGGTTCTTTCGCCCGGCTTTTTGCATGAGCGCCGGCGCATAGTAGACCAGTATGGCAGGGCCACGCACCTCCCTGGAGTCGTCGCAGCTGTAACTCTGACCAGGGCAACCTGCGTGGATGCTTGGATCCGCTCGTGCGAACGGTCTGAGGTCGATGGGGTCGATGTAACCCTCAGTCTCCAATCGGTTGAAGCTTTAAAAGGTGACCGAAGAACCTCATTGCTTATCAGGACGGCATCACCAGACTAGAAGAGGGTCTTGGGAAGGCTCAGGTTAGTTGATTCTCATGGATCATGCGCTGCAAGGATCCCAGAAGTGAAAGAAAAAGAGTCCTTCTGTGTCCAACACGGAGTCGTCTACCACGGAACCCCTGGGGAAAGCCACTGCAGGGCCCGGCGCTGGTCCCTGGGCAGACGAACTCGGAGCATTGCGTCTCTCGAAACGGCGGCAACGGCACGGACCCGAAGGTCCGACGACCCCACCGCGCGACGGGCGCGTGGGGCGCGCAGCCGCCGCGTGGAGCGCATTCGGTCACCTCGCCTGTGATCGCAAGCTCCTGGCGGCACGGGAGCGGGGAGACCCGAGTCCGGGGCGTTTGGGACGCCCCGGGACACCCGATTGGACGGGAGGGAAAAAGAAAGAGCTGAAAATCAGAGGCGTCATCTTGCAAATGGTGTTGTTTGTGGATCTCCTGTATCTGTTTTTAGAAGGGTTGATGGATGTTTCACCATGTTTATTGGCCAGCCACGGCTGGGTGCAAAGACCAAAGGTTGAGAAACTCTGGATTGATTGACCTTTCCTGAAGCATCCGGAATGTTTTTCGGACTCTGCCTTCCAATAGACCCCCAATAGACGCCTGAAGGCGAATGTGGTCCAGCCCTCTGAGTTGTTCGATCTCCAAACCAATCGAAAACCATGTCCCTTCCCGCGTTTCGACCACCGAGCCGACGCAAGTTCCGACCCGAAACGACGCACCTTCCCCGAGCCGAAACCCACCGACCCCGAACGCGTGTGGACCGGAACGGCCACGGAAGGTTCCGTCCTTGGTCAGGATGTTGGCATCCGACTTGGGAAGTTGCCTCAGACCAGATCAGGACTTAGTTGGGTTCAGAACGACCAGGACCTTCAGTTCGTGACCGGTCACGACGCGAGCTTTCAGGTCTCAGCGCGGCGAGCTTTCGCGGCCGTGGCTTCCCCGTGGATCGGAGGCGTCCGTCGGTCGGAAGAGGCGTCCCCCGCAGAAAAGGTGAGGATTATGGCACCAACAAATCTATACCAGGACCCTCCTGTCAGGGTGTCCTGGCTGAACTAGGCTTCCAGACAGGGCACCCCTTGGAGGGTCCTGGTAGAAAATAGAAAGTAACTGGGAAAGAATCGTTCGGAATTCTCTGAAGGTCGTGTGTAGGTCGCGAGATCCTGCCACCTGCCAGACAGAAGGAGATCCTGTGCCACCGAAGAAGTGCTATCCAGGTTATGCGCCGTCCATCTCACGATGGCTTTGAGACCCATCCCAGGCGCCCATGGGGAGTGGATCAGTATAAGGGACACCCGGAGCGTACTTCCTCCACGAATTTCGACCTGGAAATGGAGTCTTTGCCTTGTTCCGGTGGTGTTCTACCCGAATCAATCGCCAGCTTGGCAAAGCCATGAGACTTGAACTGCCGTAAGATCTCCACTGAATCGCCTTGTGCCATCAAGACCAGCCTCATCTGCGCAACAGCTCCAGTGCCAGAAGGACGCACACCCAGGCTGGTGGGCATATTCTCCCAGCGCCAAATCAAATACTCCTCAAAGACCTGCCCAATGCGCGCTTCGGCGGTGGCCTCTGAGGCTTTTTGCTTGAGCTGAGGGTGGGGCAAAGGAGAGAACGCCGCTCCAAACCGGCCCAAGTTCAGACTTCCGAGGGCCGGAGGGGTCTGACTCCCAGCAGATGCTCCATGGATATGGATGATGATTTATGGCTACATGAGTTGGGTTGGTCGATAAGGGTCAATGTCGGAAGTGGACCTGGGATTTGCTTTCTCTCTCTATGACCTGGGCACGCTGTTGTACCCAAGAGTGGCCTTGAGTGACCACCATGTACCCCCCCAAAGAGCGATAAGTGTCACACCACTTTCCCAAATTGATCATTGGTAGTACCAGGTATGAAAGAAAACCGCAAGGAAAGTGGATGAAGACCCATCCACTCTTTCCGGGGAATATCTCGAATCTCCTTGAAACAAACAGCCTTGCTACTAGAACCTTTTGCTCCTAATAGCCATGACCTCCAACCTACTTGCGATGGCCTCCACCTAATAGCGTCCTTGCTACTAGTTTCAGGAGGGGTCAGTGTTGGCCTTTCACTTTTTCACTTCGACTCCTAGAAGGGGAAACTACACCAGGGTCACCAGTGGTTGGTTCTCGCAGGTGAAGACACGTGCTTCATACACAAGGAAAAACTTTGCAAAACCCCAGAATGCCCACAGGCAGGAACCCAACGGCGTTCGAGGCACCTCTCCCCAAATCTGGCGCAATCCTTTGGCCACGAAACACCTCTATACATTGAGAAGTCTGCTGGAAAGTACTTGCGTAGATCCCATTACCAGTAACAAGAAGCTACCAGGGGCTCCTGGCCTTACCAGGAGCACAGACGCTACCAGGGGG